ACACAATACTGTTTCATCTTAACATCAAAACCAGGTCAGAAATCATTTCCTGAGACCTTTGAACTTCTCATTAATCTGGATTAAACTCAGTCAAGTCATCCATCAGATCATTTCAGATTACGACGCTCCTCACAGGAGGAACGTGGTCTTGGTCTTTTTCTCCTCGACTGAGCTGAAAGTCCAGTGATGCTCTCAGGGGTCAGGGGTTAAGTGGCTTAGACTTCCTGTTGCACTTGGAGCATGACAAAGAAAGAGGTCGTGTTGTGTGAAGTACACGACACGGTATGAGAAGGATTACCTCCACAGTACCTGCACCTCATATTAACCTCTTTACCGCTGTTACGTTTTTATACCCAGGGTGTCAAACATATGGCCCGCGGGTGACCCCTCCATGTTTTTCTTCTGTTTTTTTTTCTACTGCCGTCCTTTAATGTCTTTGGACTAAATTACAGATTGATTAAATTCGACGCCGTTTCGCACAACTGAAATAGAATGGAGGACGATAGAAGAAAGAAAAGCCATAAAAAAGGAATTTGTCGGTGAAGGGTAGATTGATGACGGCGTTCAGCGTTGCACCTGAGGCACATATGAATTGCCCGACTTAATTAAAACGACTTTGTAGTGCAGCACGTTTCCAGACGGAGTCAGCGTGGAGATGTGTTCTGTGCGAGGGCCTACGTATCTGGGTGGAAGTGTCTGTGCAGTGGAGCAGTGATCTGAGAGAGTGCCTTACAGCAAGTAAACAGCAGCGGGGCTGAAGCTTCATCTCACTGCTGTCTGAACGAACGCCTTCAGGCCCAGACCTAATTAAATCTGAGTCTGAATGGGACGTCACGTGATGTGTTTGAAGACCGTCGTGAGTGAGTTTGGAGAAATGGATCTGAGGTTCTGTTTGACCGTGAGTGAGTTTAGAGAAATGGATCTGAGGTTCTGTTTGACTTTCCCACAGCGTCACAGAACTGGATCTGCACTTTCTACGTCACCTCACACGACCCTCACTCGAAGGAGAATTATTCTTTAAAATCAGGGATGTACGATATTAAATATTTGCCGATTTCTGAGTTGCCGATATTATCCAAATACTTAATTTCTGATTCCGATATCAACCGATGTTTGCAGTCGTTTGGGTTAAAGGCAGAGGACACATTTCATTATGTGCACTAATTTAAATCTTTAATCTTTATTTATATTTAGTGCAGAATTTAAAAGAGGTTCCCAGAATTATTAAAGTTGTGTGTGTCCTGGAACATTTTTCAAATTCATCTTGGAGGTGCTTGAATTTGACCAGTGAAAGGATTATAAACACCACGTTTGGGTTCTTTAAAATCCTTTTGTCTTTGGTTTCCCTTTGACTCTCGGCCCATTTATTTCGAACTGCTTCCTGAAACTGATAACCTCGGTGAAAAGTGAGCATGAAATACAGTTATGTTTTCATACCAAATCAGATTTTGTGCATGCGTAATACTGAGAATTGAAGTCACCCACATCTCATCATCGGTGTGTGATGTCTGGAACAGTTATGCAAATATCAAAAAAAAAAAAAAGAAAAAATGGAAAATGTTGATGTGTACGTTAACAGAATGCGAGGCTGTGACTTTTGAAGCGCAGCATCGACCTCAAAACCTGTCACTGGAGGGGCAACATAAAAGACCTGAAACACCTGAAGGCTGCAGTCGCGTTGGAGGATGTGGTGAGAGCCAGTTAGACCGGGCTGATCAGAGATCTGATGACCTCCTTAATGTCGGGCTCTGAAAGAAGATCACAACAACCACAAGTAACAGGAGAAGCTTCTTTTGGCTCCGACTTTTCTTAGTCTTTCACACACAAACACGTTTGTGCACACACACAAAAAAACACTCCTTCCTCTTCGCGTTCTGTTATTCTGACAACTGCTTTACAGCCAGCAGCCAAAATAGCAGTGTGACGGTGTCATAACAACATTTTTTTTTTCAAACACATCGCTTGACTTTGCCAGAACTGTGTCAGACTGAGTTCTGAGTTTCCGAAATTTGAGAATTCCCAGCAGGATTGATGTATTTTGGCAGGTTCTTTATTAAAAGCCATAAAAGTGATTGTACAACGACATTTTTACACCAATAATAAACTTGTTTTCTTTTCTGTTTTACACAGAAGCCGATGTATTTCATCCAGAACTTTGTCTGTTCCAGACGTCTCTTGTTATTCAGGCGTTCGTCTGATAAGTCACTTCATCAGGAGGATTTATTTACCGTTTGTTCATTTTTGGAAGAACTCTCCTGAATTGTTGAAGTTTTTTTTTTTTAATATTCTGCTCAGTTTGACAAATGTTAACAAAGGTTTAAAATCTCAGAAAGTAACTTTTGTCTTTGTTGGTTCACTTTTTGTAGTCTGTGATAATTAGTGGTTTAGTACAGGGGTCCCCAACCCATGGTCCGGGAACCAGTGCTGATCCGTAGGTCATTTGATACCGGGACGCAGTGAAAAAAATGTACTTCATTTTGACTACCGTATTTGCCAGAGTAGTCGCAGTTTTTTTTCCAGGTTTGCGACTTATGCTTGTATTTGCCAGAGTATAAGTCACACTTTTTTTTCCAGGTTTGCGACTTATGCTCAGGTGTGACTTATATATTTAAATAGATAATTTCACATTTGTTATTTTCACACTGACAGCAGCGAAAGGGCACTGGTGCGACTTATACTGAGGAGCAACTTCTAGAAAATATGGTAATTTATTAAATTGACTTAAAGTCTAGAAAATATGGTAATTTATTAAATTCAAAGATATACTTTCTACATTAAAATATAACAGAAAATGTAACGATCCTTCAACGATGGCGCGGCATTACCAGTAACGGCTGATATCGGCCGACTGGTCCTTGTTACAAGAAAGGTTGAGGATGATTTTGATGCGTAGTTATTTGGAGACTTAGTCAGAGATTCTCTTCTGTTTTTGTCAAATATCCAATTCTGGATACTTTTTTTTTCATATTGGTTGATGATTGTACCAGTGCATTACTGCCACCTGCAGGGCTGCAGTGTATGAATTGTGTCTGTTAATATTTCATTCGACTTGTTAAAGCCGTGGCGGTGCGACTCGACTGCTTCTCCTGTTGTCGTCACTGTCGACTCGGTACATTGGTTGTCATGTTTTGCTCTGTCTGTTTGCAGCCGGTGCAGATGTCAGGTGTTGCCCCGGCTCTCCTCGGCAGTAAAGTTTTAATGAGGGCTTTTTGTAAGTGTGAGGTGGTTGTTCCTGCTGTCGGCAGCAGGTTGTTACAATCCGTGACCCCGGCCAGAAAAGTCAGTCTCTCTCTAAGCCCGGGATCTATTGTTGCACGACTGTGTGTCTCGGTCGCTAAGCAGCAGCTGGCACGCAGCCACGCCAGGCACCGAGTCACGCAGAGTCGCTGGACAGGAAGCGCCCTGCATTCAAAATATTGTCTATATATATATAAATATATATATATGGTGCGTCGAAGGTTCAGGTCCAAACTAAAGTGATCAGGGTTAAACCGAAATGCCTGTGGGAGAACTTTAAATTTAAATCTCAGAATAAATTGTTTTTTTTTTTCAGATCCACCGTCCAACACTCCGTCAATTTGTTCAGTAATTTACTTTGTTTGTTTTGAAAAGGATGGAGAAGACATTTGCTTCTTGTCGATTTCTTGACAACAACATCACGTCTGTTCAGTGACCAGAGCCGTTTTTCTCCTGGTCCTCCTGGAGTGTCTGGCTCCATAGGTTTAAAAATCAATTCCTGGCGAGTCTGACAACATTTCCCTGGACACAGCTTACTGTGCACACACACACACGTGTGTGTGTGTGTGTATACTGTAGGTCATTATACATGCACACAGAGCACAGTGGTTAAGTATGCACTGATACTGCTGCATTGGATTAGCCC